TTTTTTTTTTTTTTTTGGTCTTTTATTTTTTTTTTTCATGTTGTATTGTTTTAGAAAAGAAAAGTAAGAGACAGTGACAACGAGAAAAGAACAGACAACGGAAGTGAAGCACGGGTGCGTGCACGATACCGCGTGTCCTGGCGACACCGAAAGCAAACAAACGAAGCGTGCACACGGCGCGAACGGAAAAAACGTCCAACCAAAAAATGACGCTGCAACGTAACAGAAAACGGAGGGGTGGAGGGGCGGGAGAGCTGGTGACGAACGGTTTCAGTGGCAAATTACAATATTTTTAATCTATCCTTCGCTCTTTCTTCTCAAAACAAATTCTATTTACAATTACAATTTACGTTGAAACGAAGGAAAAATTTCGAAGAAGAAAATACACCGAGCAATTTGCAAGCTTCTCTACTCCGCTACTATGCAACCTGCCACTGAACAACCGTCGAGCCACGGTACAATGGACGAACATGGAGTGTAACATAAAAAAAGCAAGCGCAGGAACCGCACTCGCAACTTAACAGCACACCAAGCGGCGCTAACATTCGCTAGCCTCGGATACTTTATCGTAATCGTATCCGAGGACGTTGAAAAATTTGACCGTCTAAAATTTCCACTGTCAGGATTACGTACCGAGTGATTCAAACGAATGTCTCTAAAACCAATGCCACGCGAGTCCCAACACAGTGGAAACAGAAATCTAGATATTCGGCCGAGGATCTAGGTATCGTTTCGTATAATTTAATACAAAATCTGATTAGCTGAATTTATAATATTCGACACCTGGATCCTGGATCAAGCATCGGACCAGCACGCTTTATCCGTAGTTTGGATAAACGGGCAAACGGAATCCTAATTTACGAGGAAGGTTAGCATCGCCGATCGCTGTGCGCCAACACGTGATTCGCGGCCGGGCAAAATAAAACACGAATAAATAGCTGGGACGATGGGAACGACGAGGACAGCGGGATGCTTACCCGAGTATTGTTGTCGGTGGTATCACGGTGGTAGCAGGTGCGATGGCTGGTGCTGGGGCCGGAAAAACTGGTGGACCAGGTGGCGGTCGTCCTCCTCCCGCGGGGCTGTAAATTCGATAATTAACCATAAATAAAGATTGCTCATTATCGGCGGACTACGTCAATATCGCGATTAAAAAGCGAGCAAAAATTCTACCCCATTTACGATGCTCGAAAATGCGAACCGGAACGAGAGGAATGGAAATCAAAGAAGGCTGCGTGTATGGAAGAAACGGGGGGACGAAATGTTAATAACAAACATTTACCCTGCCATGCAACGTTCGAGATCAACGGTAAACACGGCTCGGCAAACAAAGTCCATCCCCCGGTTCCCCTTGGTGGATCGATCGAATCGCAATTAATTCGCGACGCATCGCGGTCGAGACTTTTCGAAATTCGACGCGTCCCGGGGAAATGATTCTGTTCAAAGATGGTTAACGAGCAAGAGAAACACGCCGGCCGGACCAAGTTTAAATCCGACTCGACCGCTCGTTACACACTTGTTTGCCCGCGGGATGCGGCCGAAAAAGTAACGAGAGCGCGCGGATTAATCGCGTCCGATCGGCTTCCAATTAAATCGTTTTAATGAATTTCCCGGTGCCTCGGTTCCCGTGTGTCGCGGCCAAACCGCCAAACTAAACACAGCAGTCAGTCGGCCGGCCGAGTTTTACACGCCGGAAGCTGCACGAGGACCGTTTCATCTGGTTTTGGTTAACAGCGCGTGAAGAAAAACGTTGCGTGGGAGTACGAATTTTCCAAGTTGCACGAATCGTTCGAATCACGTTTCCGCGTCGCTCGATACGGTTTACGGTACAATTCGGACGAAATGAATTGGAAGATGACGCAGAGGCAGAGTTTGTTGGGATGTATGTGAAATGCTTTGAACGTTGATGGAAAGATTGCTTGCGGGAAACGTTAAAAAGATTTCTACAGGGATGACAGAGATGATAGAGTTGCTATAAGTAGGTATAGGAATTTGAGAGACAGTTAGAATGTTCATCAAGCGCGTAATCTGTTCAGCATTTCAGTTGGGACTGGAGAAAATAAGCTCTGTCAAGCTTGAGAATATGAGTACAAAGGAAAAGCGATTTGCTTTGAAGAAAATTTGGACTGATGTTCAAAGTGAGCTACTGTGCTTGTACTCTATCTACAGACAAACAGAGGTTCAGACTCACAGTCATGTGTTCAGAGAAGATTAACGTCTAGACGCTGTCAAGCTTTGTACGCGTTTTAGGTACAGATTAATTAAATATACCCTGACAATTTTCTAGTAGTTGTTTCCTATTAACGATGTACGACTTCAAGACCCTATTGATCTTCGCTAACTATCTCATAGATATTTAAAAAGCCTGCAATTGGCTGGGATAAAGCATTCACGTTCGGTTACAAGTGACATCGCATAAATAAGGCATGACATAGAAGACGTGTACAACATTGATTTCTCCATAGTAACTTAACGAAACGAGCAAAAGTATATGTATGTCCTTACTGCAAAGGCTGCTGATGACGATTGTTAGGCGGCGGTGCAACTTGGGCTGTAGAGGTGGCTGGGGCATTGGCGCTGCTGACACGATGAACATGCAGCTGGTGCACCTGCAGTTGAGTGGCGTCTTCGCCAAGGAACGAGCACCTCGAGCATTGCCGTCTGTTATGCACCTTGAGCACGTGGGTAGCTAAACGCTCGGCACGCGCGGCCTTGTACTCGCATAGGGTGCACGCAAACGGCTTCAGGTGCGTGTTAAGGTGCCGTTTCAAGCACCAATTGTCTACGCCGCTCCAGGAACAGTAGCAACAAGTGTACCTAAAATAAGATGACTACATTAACCGGCTGTTCTTTAGATTAAGTTAAACCCGATAGACCACTTCAATTTCGACCAGACCTTTAATCATCAATGAGAAACTATATCCTCGCGCATCAAACAGCTTAACTATATAAGCCAAACCTTACGCTATAGAACCCAATTTTCCCACAGAAACCTCACCTCCGCTCCTGAGCACCTTTAGAGCCTCCCTTGAGATGGCTCTTACTGTTGCAGCCTCCATTCTGGATCCTCCTACCAGTAGCACAGTTCGCCGCATCCGGTTGCATAATGCCAGGGGCTGGCATCGAAGTTCCTTGATAAATCCCCGCCGCATTGGTGGTCGTGTTGTTACCAGGGTTCGGTTGCAACTGGTAATTCTTGTTGTTGTTAAATCCGGACGAGTAATTCGTGTGCTGTTGTTGCTGCTGCTGTTGCTGCTGCCCGTTCGCGTTCGCGTTTCCGTTATTCGCTGTACCCTGGCTTGGGCGCGCTGGACCCAGCTGGTCTACGTATCCTGGACAATTCGTAACCGTGCTCACGGTGCATCCTCAAGAAGTGCTTCTTCACGTGGTCGGCGCGGTTGAACGGCTTGTAACAGATGTAACAGTGAAACGGTTTCTCCTCGCGATGGATATTCTCGTGTCTGGTGTACAGGTCACGACGGTCGGTTCCATAGGGGCAGTACGGACAGGTATACCGCTTCCCGCTCGCAGAGACTGTTCCCGTCGTCGGCATTGTCGTGGTGTTCTACAAAAATGAAGAAATTCTTAGTCACCGTTCTGTACCTCGAGATAGGGAATTGTCAATTGACGACGCAACTATTCGTTGACATTCGACGTTGGCAGCTTTGCAAACGATACAAAAGAACATTTTACCGTCACAGATGCCAGTCTTCGCGGCTAAACGGGAACTGAGAAAATAAAATAACTTAGGCAAATAAACGACGATCGTCAAAATGTTTATGATACAGTATCATGTTTAGATCGGGACACGAACCACGGAAAAGAATACAAGTGTCAAGGATCTGGGGGATCAGTGAATGATACATGACGATCGTGAATGAAGAAAGGACTCGAGCAAAGTCTGAGACACTAACTTGATGCAAATGCTGCGGCGTCGGAGCGGTTGGTAACTCTTGCAGCAGGAAGGTGGAGGTGACCGGTAACAGGGCGGCAGGTACCGTTTGCGTTTCCTGCGTCCTCCTGGACGGCGGTGCTACACGCTCTGCTCTCTCGCGTAGCCTTTCCAGGTAAGAAATCACGTCCTCGACCTTCAGTTCAGCCTGCAGGTAATCTTTCCTTGGCGAGCGGTGCCTCT